CTAGGTTCGGGCATTCAATAAATATTATTTAGCTAACTTAGGTATTTTAATATCAATTGTACTAATATAACCCTTTAATTCTTTGTAATTTTAGATAGTGAGTTACTAAGTGACTAATATATCCTTGACTTTTGATTTGTTTCCTACAATTAGCTATTGAATTGTAAAAGTATTTTAAAACTTGATAATTTTTGTATTTCTTATCGGTTTTACATATATAATATATTAAATTAATCATCTTTTGATGATCTTCGATTTGACATCCATATTGTATATATGAAATATATTAATTATATTTATCTTTATAATAATAAAAAATAATAATATTTACTAAAATTCATTAGAAAAATAAAATTATTTCTCAATTGATATGTTTATATTTAATGTAGTTATAAGTTATTAGTTAAAAAATTATTATAATATAACATAAGTAAGTCGCACAAATAAAAAAGTTTCATACTAAATATAATAATATAAATATTTTTAAAATATATTTAAATTTTCAACTACATGTTTTCAGTAATTTTAGATTTTAAGAAAAAAAATTAGCAAGCACCCGTGTAATACACGGGCGTTGTACTAGTATTGTCTTATTAACTTTGCATTTGATGAAGGAACAAATATTCCTATGAATGGCATACATGAATTTCCAATTAGGTATCCTTTTGTAATAAAATAATAATACAAAAGGAATCCTATTATTATTTGGCTTATTAATCAGAAAAATTGGTGGCATGTGGATTGTGGTGTTGGTTGGCGCAGAGCAGAGGATTTTTGCCTTTTCCATAGCCAAGTGTGTGGTGTGTCCTTGACAGATCAATGCACCCTGCCATTTATAGCTAAGTTATAATACTGAAATTTCACTATTAGAATGTGCACACAATATTTTTTTTTTTTATTTATTTTATTTGTGTGTATTTTTTTTTATTTTTTTTTATTTTATTTGTGTGTATTTTTTTGTTTTTTTTTTCAATAAATTTTATGAAGTTAATGGATGGTTCTATGTGGAGGTATTTATAAAAAGAATTTATTGATATTTGACTCAATTATATATAGTTGACGATACACATCAATATATTATTTATAAGTAATTGCGAATAACTTCATAAATAGTGACATGCAACAACTTTTATAACTCGTGTCATCCAAAAGCTTTATCGGTAGTTAGCTTATGTTTGATAGACAAATAAAGCTTATTGGTTAGCTTATAAGCCTTCTGTATTTAAAATTTATTTAAAAAAACTCGAGTTTATCTCATAAGCTTATTTGAGTATCTTTTCAAATAAGCTCGTTGGAATTTTTATTACAGATAGCTTATCAGCTAATTTTTACCGAACGTTTTTATCATATAAGCTAGCTTTTCAACTGTAAGCTTAAAAATTGCTGAAAAACTATAAGCTAGTTTATCAGCTATCAGCTAGTTTTACCAAATATAGTCTTATTATTATTTAAATATTTATCTGTTCTCCTCCTTGTTATGACTATTAAAGGAGCCTATATATTATATATTACTCACTTTGTATATACCTTAGTCATCCTCCAAAAAAAATAAAAATAATAATAATAATACAAAAAGAAAAAATAATCAATTGTTGATCAACTTGATGGTAAGAATTAATGAATTAAAACTGAATTGAATTAATTTCATAAAGAAAACCACATTTTAATGAGTTGAATTAATTTCATAAAGAAAACCACATTTTAAATGAAAAATTCTTACTTTAGTAAGGTAAATATCAAACTTCCAAAGTAGTAGAATAGCACCTAATTAATTACGAAAATGTGGTGTGTGTTGAAATATAACTGAAAAGTGTGATGTTTGTATTCATTCCTCAAATTTTGTATGGTATTAATCAAGGAAATAAATAGCTCGCTAAAGTTGCCGCTATTTGAGAAATAGCTTTTTTTGGCAGCGTGCCGCTATTTGTATTCATGTGCAATTTAGCCGCTAAATTCCGCTAAATCTCCGCTATAGCTCCGCTATAGCTACAGTGCCATAAACATTTTAGCCCGCTATTTAAAACCTTGGTATTAATAAGAGTGGAAAAATGTGAGGCTCCAATGTTTACCTTCACCTCAGGTCACATTAAATGCATGGCCACCACATAAAATTAGACACGTTTAATATGCATATAGACTTCAAAATTTTTATTATTTTATTAATTAATGTATTTATTTAAGTGTTAATATAAATTTAAGAGCAATAAGATATATACTTAAAAATGTAATTATTCCTTGTCCACCATTATATGAAAATGATATAATTTCAACGACAATTTTAATAGAAATTTTAATGCAATATTTATGTACAAATTTATCAATTGATTCTAGCGAAAATTCAATAAAAAATATTCTGTTGGAATGAGTTTTCCGCTGGAATTGTTGTTGGATATTGACGATTTCAACGGTGTAGTTTTCAGTAGTTGATATATGGGTGGAAACAAAAATTCCAACAAAAATTTCTACGGTAATAAACAGTTGGAAGATAGTTGTTGAAATCATCAAGTTCCAGCTAAAATTCTAATGAAAAACTCATTCCAACATAATATTTGTCTTGGAATTCGCAACAGAATGTACACCATTGGAATATCCGTAAGAATGTCTATTGGAATATATTTTCGTTGAATTTTTCAATGAAATATAACATTTTCTTTTTATAATGCACCAAGTCAATTTCAAAATAAGGAAAGAGATTATGTCACATCGACCCTAGTCCAAAATTTTGTCGGAAAACATCAATCAATGGGCAATCTCATCCTCAACTATTCCAAGGCGTCCCAACTTCTCGACTCTTTTCTCCTGAAGCTCCATCTACTTTGGTGACCAACAACCGAGCACCCACGAGCGTTTTTCTCCGGTAAAAATTCCGCAATTGAGAATATTTCAATGGTTTTGTTGTAATTCCCAAATGTGTGTGTGTGTGTGTGTGAAGATGTGTGAATATGTCATATTGTAATGTTTTTAAATGTTTGAATAAAGCTGTCACTTTTTTATAGGAATATTTACAATTCCACTAGTATATTGTGCTCGAACATATGTGAAATTACTTTAGAGTATATTCTTTCATGTAATGTGTGATGACTTCAAGAAATAATTTAGCGGCTCGAGAAAAGCACATATAACCAACTTTTATTTGGAGATAAATTCATTCTCACCCCGTGGGGTGATGTCTGTGTGGTATGTATCAATTTCTCTATATATGAAAAGAGGGTAATGTAGTAGTTTTAACAATTTTAATGGCATGATTAATTATTTCTCAGACATATTCATGAAGTGTTGGCAAAAATAACTTATAAAGGCATCACAACAAAAAAAGTTTGACTATATATTTGGACAAAATATTTCTTAGTGATTGAATAAAATAAACACTTTGCCGAATGAATTAAAAGGATTTGCAATACTGTTGATGTATTTTGCTTCAATGAATACGAATGTTTTTTATGACAATGTTAAAACTAAAATGAAAGAAAATCACTCTTGAATCATCTAACATAAATAAATAAAAGAACTAACGCAACTATTATATATACATTAAGTTATTATTTTGTTATATATGTTTTTTTTTCATTAAGAACTCATTTTTAATATATTTTTGTTGGGATTATAAATGTTATTTCATTTTTTTATTAGAACATTATTATGTTATTTTGTAAGGAAAAAACATATATTTTTTTTTTCAAATGGCAATTATATTAATAACTTAAAAACTCAAACGAGTACAATCGAAGTGTCAAATGACACACTGGAACCAGAAGACTGGACCAACCCCCTTGTTATCACACACAAGGGGTACAAACTCCACCAAGGAGGCAAACAACACAAAGCAAAAGCAGACACAGTTGCACTAAAAGCAAACAAAGTTGCACTAAAAGCAGACACAGCTGCACTAAAAGTAGACACAGCTGCACTAACAA